CATGTGTGTTATGTTAACTAATCCTGGTATGTCATATCGTCTACTCATGTGTCATGTCATCTACTCATTTGTGTTATGTTAACTAATCCTGGTATGTCATATTGTCTACTCATGTGTCATGTCATCTACTCATTTGTGTTATGTTAACTAATCCTGGTATGTCATATTGTCTACTCATGTGTCATGTCATCTACTCATGTGTGTCATGTTAACTAATCCTGGTATGTCATATCGTCTACTGCCGTGGCATGTCATCTACTCATGTGTGTTATGTTAACTAATCCTGGTATGTCATATCGTCTACTCATGTGTCATGTCATTTACTCATTTGTGTCAGTTCATATAATCATGTGATGTCATCTCATCTACTCATAGTGTGTCAAATGTCATCTACTCGTGATATATCATATCATCTACTCGTGGTCTAGCATATAATCAACTCATAGTATGTCCTGTCATATACTCAAAGCATGTCATATACTCATAGTGTGGCATGTCATAATCATAATATTCATCTACGCATAGTGTGTAATATCACAAACTCATGATTTATCATGCATGTCACGTCATTTACTCATGTGTGTCTTATGTTATTTACTCATGGTATGTTTTATCATTTACTTATGTTATGCCATGTCATTTACTCATGGTAGGTCATGTTGATTCTCATATTATGTCATGTCATCTACTCAAAGCATGTCATATACTCATAGTGTGGCATGTCATAATCATAATAGACTATATCATGCCATATACATATCGTGTGTACTGTGATATACTCATGGTGTGTCATGTCATCTACTCATAGGGTAGCATGTCATATTCTCATAATTTGTCATGTTAACTACTCATGATATTTCAAAAAGGACACACTAGAAGGGCAAGGTTTCTTCAAACAAAAGTAACAACTGGAATTAAAATTCCTACCACGTTGTTCGGGGGGGGGGGGGGGGGGGAATCACTGCTACTTTTCAAAAGAAATTGAGAACTTTTCATCGTTAAAAAAAATAGAAATTATATCATATGCCCGGGTCACACATTCAAGGATCGTCTCGCCGGACCCACTACGGATGAAAACTCACGGATTAACTCGGAATAGTTTATATCGGTGATCCATTACGGATGCACCACAGTTTGACCATGGATAGGGGCTGGTTGACAACGGGGAGTGATACGGTTGCTACGGTTTAGTACGGAAAGACACGTGTCACAGCGTATGCACTGCGGATTAACAACGGTTCGCTACGCTTTAGTACGGGTTAACGTTAGCACGAATTAGAAAGGACTGGCACGGATTAGTACGAACTCGCACGGAGCGCCACGGACCTCCCACGGTAAGCAATCCGTATTCAAACTCTAGCGCTCGCGTGTTCACTCCACAACTTAATTTCAATTTTAGTACTGGTTAGTACAAGTACTTAGTTCACCTTAACTACCGATCCTTGGTGACTTGAGGCTGGAAATGTACTACGAATAAGTACGGATAATTACGGTTTATTACGGACTACAACGGATGAGTACGTTCAACTACGGATCAGTAAGGATGCACTACGGTGATCTGATCCGTGTCACGGTGTACAAGTACTACTACGATTGACCCAGGATACAATACGGACAGAAACGGACCACTACAGATTGCCAAGAATGATGCCGGATCGTATTCGTAGCTATTACGGCGTCCGATCCGTGAATGTGTGACCGGGGCAATAGCACAGTGCCAAGGTCTGCTGGTAATCAGAGCAGAAAAATATAATATGGTACAATCACACAATGACAATGCTGTACCATTAAAAAGCATTGTTTCAACAAATATAACAAAGGCCTATGATGATCAAAATAGATCTGATACGGCCAAACGTGATCAGACGATATAGTTCTTTTATATTTTAAGATATGTTTTGTTGCAGACCTTTTATTGTAACCAGCTTATAACGTGAATTTTTTGTGGATTCTTTATCTATGACGAAGAGTTTTTCCTTCAGACATAACTATGTAGTACTAGAGTGTTGGAACAGGAAGTATAAGCGTCTAAAAATAGATGTTAACCTTGGAGGTACGTTATACTTGTGACGTTGGCACAATTCCAAGACACCGGGGACATTTTACAATTGACATGGTTTTAGTATAAAGTACATTCTTAGTGATACTGGTGTCACGATGTACAGTCGACTATTTAAAGCAAAAATCTACACAAACATTTTACTGAGATTAAACACGCTACGCATGAAGAGTTTATTTGATAGGTAAAGAAATGTAAATCTCACGTGAGACATACGCGTTTCGTTTGACAAATCTATATCAATTACCAACGAAGGATGGACGACTGATCAAACAATTTATTCTAAAACAATGTTTAACCTGATAATAAATGTACGAGATTGCCATACTTTTTGCCACTAATTTCATTTTTTTTATAATGAAATTGATTTTTTCCTTTGCATTAGCGTTAAGGTTCTTCGAATGTCTGTCGTCAGCCCGTCCTCCATCTTACATGGATCCGTGCCCTAGTGCACAATGGATCTATGTTGATCTTTGATGTAAGGGATGTCTTATGTTATCACAACTACAAGGTGTTAACGTAACCTTGGCAGGCAAAACCTTGAGAAGCCTTGGGAAGTTCTCCTGTTATTCGCTGAAGATGAACCTCTTGCGGACAACATATATCACTAAAGTTGATTCAATATAGTCGTACGACGTAATAAAACCTCTGTAAGAACCCAGTCGTATTTGTGGTTATGTCATAATTCCATGTTATGCAGTGAGGGTTTGCATAAATATGTATATTTTACCTTTTTTGTTATTGTTATGAAAATAGTCCTTTCGATTATGATGTCACACACGCTTCAAATATTACTTCACAATTACGTTAACAGACCTAACTTCATAGATCTCAAGATGGGGTCGCAGAAAATTAATACATACATATTTCAGAATGTTGACATAAGATTTTTATTTAAATTATTTCACTTGTACTCAGTACACAGACTAAATGTTTTTTTATATATCAAATATTAGCGAGATGACATGCTATTTATTTTGTTACAGTAAGCAATGCTTATACTTTAAATAACAAAACTGGAAAAAATACATGTGCTTCATCCTTCTGATTAAAGTCATACTATCAATAAAACACACCATTAATCAAATATTGAATCATTTAACAATCGTATATCACACAAAACATTCATGTCAACGGGGATCATACAAGTACTAGGTATACAATAGTGTCAACGGGGATCATACAAGTACTAGGTATACAATAATGTCAACGGGGATCATACAAGTGCTTGGTATACAATAGTCAACGGGGATCATACAAGTACAAGGTATACAATAGTCAGCGGGGATCATACAAGTACTAGGTAAACAATAGCCAACGGGGATCATACAAGTACTAGGTATACAATAGTGTCATCGGGGATCATACAAGTACTAGGTATACAATAGTCAGCGGGGATCATACAAGTACAAGGTATACAATAGTCAGCGGGGATCATACAAGTACTAGGTATACAATAGTGTCAACGGGAATCATACAAGTACTAGGTATACAATAATGTCAACGGGGATCATACAAGTACTTGGTATAAAATAGTCAACGGGGATCATACAAGTACTAGGAATACAATAGTGTCAACGGGGATCATACAAGTATTAGGTATACAATAGTCAACGGGGATCATACAGGTACTAGGTATACAATAATGTCAACGGGGATCATGCAAGTACTAGGTATACAATAGTCAACGGGGATCATACAAGAACTAGGTATACAATAATGTCAACGGGGATCATACAAGTACTTGGTATACAATAGTCAACGGGGATCATACAAGTACTAGGAATACAATAGTGTCAACGGGGATCATACAAGTATTAGGTATACAATAGTCAACGGGGATCATACAGGTACTAGGTATACAATAATGTCAACGGGGATCATACAAGTATTAGGTATACAATAGTCAACCGGGATCATACAAGTACTAGGTATACAATAGTCAGAGGGGATCATACAAGTACTAGGTATACAATAGTCAACGGAGATCATACAAGTACTAGGTATACAATAGTGTCAACGGGAATCATACAAGTACTAGGTATACAATAATGTCAACGGGGATCATACAAGTACTTGGTATACAATAGTCAACGGGGATCATACAAGTACTAGGAATACAATAGTGTCAACGGGGATCATACAAGTACTAGGTATACAATAGTCAGCGGGAATCATACAAGTACTAGGTATACAATAGTCAGCGGGGATCATACAAGTACTAGGTATACAATAATGTAATAATTCCTTACCTTAAATTTAACGTTGGACTCAACATTTTTGTCTCTCGCGAATATCTTAAAAATATAGCCGTCGTATTTTTTCTCATCTTTCTCCTGTCTTGTAAATACAGTGTTAGTATTTATTGGTAGCTTTCCAATATGCTGAAATATACAACCAAAACATGCTACTTAAAAGGGAGATAATCACAAACGTTCAACTTGGTAGACATGGTGCAACTGGATATCTAAAGCAGTAGATCATCTTACATACAGACCAAATCCCACAGGGTTAAATACATTTTTTCTCTATAAAGTACGGACAGTGAGATACTAGATACTGATGAGCTGTAAAAGAAATCAATTTTAAATGGCTGAAAGTGTGTATGAACTTTTCATCATAATTAACTTAACTGCACAATTACGTAGACAACTTGGAATATTTTATGATTATATAAACCATTAATTTTGAATGACTATAAGAATGCAAGCAATTCTTAATTATATTACAATTATATAATAAGTAAGAAATTAAACATATTTATTCTATCAAACGGCTATTTCGTTCATATGAAAATCATCAGTGGTTCATGTATTAAAGGTTTAGGCTTATAGATTGTAAAACCATATACAGAGTGGAACGAAACGTATTTATTGACATTGAAAATACGCGCCGTTTGATTTTAGTTTGTTCGTTTTGTACAATTATGTGTTTTTCGAGTTTGACCAATGTAAAATATATCCCATTTATGGAAAGATTTTTGTTTTATGAATTATGCTTTTTAATTTACAATTTATATAAGCCTTTAAAATATACACATAAATGACACTATATATTCTAACAACACTTGACCTTATGTAAAATTTCTTGTATATATCAGGTGAGATTCACATGATTAATTTTACAGTGTCAAAAGTGTTTCTGCTCTCTTTTACCATATCAGCATAACTTGACCTAGTAAAAAAAGTGAGCAATATCTAGTCTTTTACGAGTTATAAACATTTGGGTTGTGTGTGTTCATATTACTGTCATGGCATTACTTATATCAAGTCGCATCAGCAAAACCTTAATTATAACTGTTCTGTGTAATTTACGTAGTTAATATTTAATTCTTTTCAGTTAAATGTTACAAAAAATATTTCAAATACAACAAAATATATGAAAAATATTACCACTAACTGGGAGACAGAAAGTATTCACAAGTGGTATTACCTCACTATTGTAAATACTTTATGTTGTCGGATAATTTACCATGTATTGTATGTTTTCTCCTTGATTCACTGTACATGTTAAAGTGAGATATTGTCCTGATCTGACCTTACACGTTCTTTTATAGTAATCATCCCCAGGAATCATATATCATAAGTATATATTATAATGTTAAGATTATATAACATAAAAGCTGATATACAAATGAAATAAAAATACATCAGGAAATTTGTTCATGATTTTTTTTACGCTCACCATGAATCCCGCTATCAAACCTTTTTCTTGTAACTCAATGAAATTACGAGACTCGGTCAACAAGTTAAGTCTAAACACTAAAACGACTTTAAGCCTCGTTTCTCTCAAAAGTACCTCAAAATTACTGATATTTTTTTATATTACGTTAATATACTACCGGCACAAGAAATGAACCTGAGCAAGATGTGGGTCTGTGTATGATAACGGTTTCATTTATCCTTCCTTAAATCTAGGAACACTGTAACACTGGAAAGGAAATGCATATACATATATACCTGCACAACGACATTGATAATTTGAATGAGATATTTTGAATGTATATGAATATAATTGATGCTAAAAAACAAATTGTTATGCTGCAAGCCTTCCAGAGGCCACTGAATTCGGAAAATGAAATTTGAAATGTAATACCAGTAGTTAATATAATAGGAATGATAATTAAATCTACAACTGGGCATCATATCCTAATAACAGGTGACTTTAGCGTACAACTAATTAGTTATTAACTTTGGGCACGTATCAGATATTCTATGTGAAGAGTTAACGTGTCACAACTTGTTGAAGGGACCAAGCATGTTACGGGACGCTCTTCTTCCCTTTTTGACAGATTCATGACAAAAATTAATAAAACTGTTATTGTTGGAACATCATTCTTGCAAGCTGATACTAGGTACCACTATCTTGTCATAGCTTTCAAAATAGCATTGAACTAAAAACATAACGAAATTCTATAGACAAGGGTTATATAATTACATATTCAAGGCTATTATAATTAGTTCCGTGACAGATTCATGACAAAAATTAATAAAACTGTTATTGTTGGAACATCATTCTTGCAAGCTGATACTAGGTACCACTATCTTGTCATAGCTTTCAAAATAGCATTGAACTAAAAACATAGCGAAATTCTATAGACAAGGGTTATATAATTACATATTCAAGGCTATTATAATTAGTTCCGAGAGAATAACTGTACATCAGCAGATGAATATTTAAACGTTGATTTTTCATAATTTCAAATATTCTATATAATTAATGTTGTAAAAATGTATTTCAAACAGAAATATTGCTAAGAGTTCAGAATTTGATTAAAGCATATGGAAGTTTCAGCGATATAGCCTTTATATTTGTTACCACCTTCGAATCTGTCTTTGTTTGATAATAATGTTTGCAACCTAAATCACTGAAAGTAAACGTTATATGAATAGTGTTAATTCACCTATCATCGTGCTAATGACTGGACGATTTTCCCGTCTGTTATGTTTACTCTCGTTTTTTATTTTCTAGTTGGTTGTTTTATACAGTATTAAGTTTTTATGTTGCTGATAAGGTGTCTCATTTTTTTTTTTAAATAACTATTTGATTGTTTTTGTACCTTGTTAAAAAAAAAAGCATAAAAACTCCCATTTTGTCTCCCAATCCTTCGACTTCATCACTACATTTATGTTATTGACATGCTTGTTTATTAAAAAATATTGTTTAAATTATATCAAGCAATAACTTAATGATTATTATGTACAAATCCTGCATCATCAGTGACCAGCCTAAATGATAATACCAAGCGGTTATCATTAATGACAATAGACGACATAGTTATATCACGCATTTACAAGAACAATTACAAAAACAATTGATTATGTATTATATTGTAATTTTAACCATTGGGCAATGGACGTCTGGCTGGTAAGACGGACAGCCGGGTGAACACATGAATGAAAACCATTTTCCTATCATGTTCCTTTTCTTATCATTCCTTTCTAATGGGTTCCATTAAATCTTCAATAGTATATCAGATAAAAATGTACAAGAAGAATGTGTAACTTATCTTTTTTTTACCAAACACCACCTCAATTTTGTTTTAATACCAGACAAGTGTACAATAGTTCTACTTCAGTCTGAATGAGTTAGTGTTGGGACGTGCATGATGTTCCCCTTTAAGTGATCAGTGAATTACACAGTATATATAAAGGTGTACATATCAGTTCTGTCGTCTGAAAGCTGACACCTAAACAGTATACAGAACACATGCGTCCTCCATGTATATTTATCTGTTCTATTGAAAAGCTTCAATTAAATGCAGATATTATGTCGATACAAACCATTCCTAGATTAACTCGATAATAAACTCATTTATTGCAAATGTCGTCAGACGAGCTTAAAACATAAAATTAAAGTGGGGGGGGGGGGCAATTTGGATGTGTGCCAAGTGTGAATGAGATGTAGTACTAGTAATATTAACAGAGTTGTTTTATTGAGTAAGTAGATTTGAATTCATTATTGCTTATCTCGTTATCACGTCAGACTTAACCCATTCGATACACGGTATTAACTTCTAAACTTCCTGGTTTAGGTTTCTATAATTTCAAGGTAAAAAATCTAACATTGATATATATTTAAAGGAAAGATAAAATGACATTGCAGTGGACAGACAACGGTGTCACTTAATTTACTTTTTTTTATTATTAAATACTACGGTGTTATACGAAATGCATAAGGACATAAAAAAAGCACGCAAAATATTGTTTGTTTAATGCATTCAACTGTTTGTGTTACTTATTAAATTATCAATAAATCAGAAATGCGATTTGAAATTCCCGTCGTGTAAAGATGAAAGAGGTTTGGGTCAAAGAAGTAATATTAACGGTAGCTTTCACGAGTAACACTGGATCCTTGTAAACGTGTGTTTGTAGGATACGAAATACTTAGAATTGTATAGGGGGCTAGGAAGTAACTCTTACAGCGTAGACAATATGTTGTCAAATATTCGGAACAATCTGCTCCTTTATCGAGACACAGAAAAAAACACAAAACAATTGCATTACATAAAAACAATATTAGAAAGAGGTTTGATATAAAGTAGGAAAAAAGGAACTGCACAACACTATTCAAACAGTTCACTTACCGTTTCAGCTGTATGTTCGTTCTGTTCAGTGAAGAAAAATATAAAGCCATTCCTCTTCAGTACAGACCACAGGTGCTGTAACACAAAAAAACTATCAATGAAATTAAAACGCTGATATAGTTACACTGTCATCTCAGCATTTAAAGGGGGAAATACTATATAAACTGGACACCCTAAATAAACACATGGTTATGCGTCCACTTGACATCGTTTGGATCATGTCGAAGCAATATAATATTGGTGTTTGTAGAAATATGCCATTAATGTTTGCAGTAAACGTAATGCTGACATTGTTTAACATGGCTTATACTTGTATTTATTTATTTCGATAATTAATAATGCATTGTATAAGGGCTATGTTATTTTATATATTGTAGGTTTTTATTGATATTATTGAATTTGCGATGTATTTAGTTTATTAACATATTTCTAGTGACCTGTTTGCTTGCACTTATTAATGTTGTTTTGTTTTCGCTTACTGTTAGTTTATGGTACCAGGAAGTAAGAGGCAGAAATGTCTCACCTGTACACTATCCTCATTACCACACCAGCTTTCTCTCTTTATAACATATCATGGACAAAGATCTTCAGGATTTTGTTTCATATGCCTAATGTTTCATATTTAATATAAGTTTAGCGTAACGAACTACCGCACGTAGATACCAATGTGTCCCTGGGTATAATTTATCCAATCAGATTCTCTCTAGATGTCAGAGGATACTTCCTCGTCTACGGTGAAAGCTGTCGTGAACAATACTTGACTGTGACTGATTTAATATTGCCTCATATATCAAAGTTTTATTTTCTTATTTATTTACATTTTCAATTTTCTGGGGAAATATTTAACAGTACGGCATCAATATTCCCTTACCGACCACCATTGTGTATAGGAGTTGAAAAACATTACCGAGGATAAAAAAATATTTTTTCTGTGTAAACAGGCCTTAAAAGGTTATTTCCTGGTGATTGTATTTCCTATACGGAAACAATGATAAGTTGCGGACCTGTTAAGGAATGTAACCAGTTTAAAGCATTCCCAGTAATATTGCAAAAAAGGTTCCGACATAACAAATACCACGCCTACCTGTACATTAGTGTTCACTCCCTTATTTAAAATCGAGAAACCCTCGTGACAGAGCCATTATGTTTTGTTTGTTTTTGTACAAAGAGAGATTGGAATAAGTTTATTATATTTATATATATATATTCTATGCTATAATAAATGACAAGCTACGCCGAGTCACAAAATGCCGTGGGGATTGGCGATAAACAGTTATGTTAACGAGTGTCATACATTTGACCAACTGCAAAAGTCTTCTTCGCCATGTGTTATTTACCTAGTAATTAGTGCTATGACCGCATTTTTTTGTGTTTGATTATTTTTTGTTTATACTGTTTATGATACATGAATATACACATTACTACCCGAACATCAATATGTATGTGCTCATTTCCTCATGTACCAGACATCCGCAATAGCACGGTCGCTGACATTTGTGGTCATGTCTCGTAATGTTAAGCTTTATAATATACTTAAACTTCATTTTCTTTTCTAGATTGGTTTAGTTTGGTTTAGGATTGTTCAATGTCCTATCAACAGCTATGGTCAGTTAGGGACATCAACAGCTATGGTCAGTTAGGGACGTCAACAGCTATGGTCAGTTAGGGACGTCAACAGCTATGGTCAGTTAGGGACGTCAACAGCTATGGTCAGTTATGGACGGTTCTTCTCTAGAGGGACTCTCGGTCTCGGTATTCTCAAATAGCTTCGCCTCTCGCTCAGAGAACTGTGACGTCAGTTATCATTGCTACGAGTCTATAACGCCATCAACATGTAGCAATGAAGGAACTTTCATCTAAATTATATCTAAGCCATTCAAATTAGATTAAAATCTGTTTTATTCACATAACATATGTAATACATATTACAAACATGATTAAAGATACATGAATTGGAGACAGAAACAAGTGTTAAAACACTTATATAAATCGGTTATCGTTCATCGTAACCAACATTAACAACTATAGGGATAGTGACGTGAATAAATTACAGGGGAAGTTAGAAGAGAGTTGGGGAAATGCAGTGTAAAATATGGTACGTGTACAAAATACGTTTTATTCATAAAATCCTTCTGCTGCGTATCGTTAATACACTTTATGGTTGATTAATCAAACTATTTCAAGAAAGGTATATATATGCATATAAGTAATATAATACATAAACAACTGAGCTGCATTATAATGTTAATATAAAATATACTCTATGACAATCCCATTCAAATTAATCACATTTCGTGGCTTGAACGGAAAATGATAGGTTAAGTAGGGGTCAGTCGTCAGACAAGTTGACAGCTACCTGGTACGCTCATATTTAGTTTCATATTGACAAAGAAAGTAGTGTGCTGAGCAATTCAGGGTGTATTTCAGTTTTTAATTTCTAATTATTTATATACTATATACTCTGATGCGCTATTTGACTCCTGTGTACCAGCCTAATGCTACACTAAGCTAACTCAAAATTATCTAAACTGAAAGCAAACTATTTTCTCTTGAGATTCAAAGCGATCGTCCACAGCTAATACACACATATTCGTATAACTCCTGTTTTAACATTTGTTTCTGACTATTTCCGTTAAGCAACCTTTACCGTAATGGTTATTGATGTAGCACAAACGATCAGTATCTAACTTCAAAATATAACTGGTATCGCTTCTCGTAACTCCGAGGACATGGTTGTTACATTCTTACTCGATAGAAATAACAAGTAAGGCGCCTGTTCAGAGTAACGTATAATGTGTTCAGGCTGAATAGCACAATAAACCGTCTGTGATCAGTCTCCTCTTCAATTACAACATCATAGTATAATGGGCCTCTCCACGTTTTGCGTTTTAAACATTTTCCGTGTTTGATGACGAGCAAGATAACGGCAGTCCGAAGATATATCTAAAAGTGTGCATGTTCTTAATTTTTAATTAATTTCTGAGAAATTCTAGTTTTCTTGGAGTCTAGCTATTGTTGTTACCTAAATTTCTATATAAATACAAATCACACAACTTTTTTTACCGTTTTCTAAGAATGTTTACAAGAAACAGCATGCCTGCAAACGGTTTTAATTATTGCGTAGACAATGGTTTTGACTGTTGACTGTAAATGAATTGGCTGACAGCCAATCAAATTTATCAGTCACTAATTTTGACTGTTGTCTGGTAAACTCTGATTTGCTGATTCAAAACAATCGTTTCATGTTTTATAGACAGTCAACAGTCAAAACTATTTTCCAATGTGTTTTGACGAACCGGATCAGCTGTTTCCGGGGAGGGAGGCGTCGGTCGGCTACTAAAGCTACGTTTGAATGCTTGTGGTAAACAATGCAGTGCAACAAAAGACCGTTGCGTGTTCGGATCATTCGTTTTATTTTGTATAGGAAATAGCATTGATAAGTTGCAGTAACGTTTACCTAAGCTTTGTTGTTAATGATAAAACACAAACCACTTTTCTGCATGTGATGTGTTATGTACATGTATATGAATGTAATATTGAAACCTGAGCCATGTTGTGATTCATGTCTGCTGACCCTTGCACCCCTATGTAACTTTAGTAGACTCTTCCATGCATTGATATGGATGAGTCCATTATGGTCTACAATGGTGAAAGGGTTAAAGCTGCTTTATTCGTGTCTTTGTGATAGTTTTTGTCCTTTTAACAAACAAAAAGAAAATAATTTCACAAATGCACAATAAAATGACGTACTAGATAGCGTTCATCTAAGGCAATTTACATGGATAAAAATAATAAAAGTTTATACATTGTTTTCATTACGTCCAAGCGAAATTATAAAGCACCGCCTTCCAATAATGCTAAAAGTCAGTATACGCATGACCAAAACCTGCCGCGCGTCATACATGTTTACAGTGAGAAAGGTGATAGAGAGGATGGCATGGCCATAGCAATACCTGTTTAGAAAGAAAATTAATATTAACAATGCTCGATAAAGGATGATAATAGTTTTTTAAAGACATGAAGAAGAGGTGGGAAACGAGAAAATTCTCATATCTGCCACAGCGAAGATGTTAGAATGAGCTCGGGCACCGAAGGGGTACCTGTACTGACTTGTTACCCGTTTCATACGTAGACGGATGTTTACTTGCGTTGTGTCGCATGCAATTTTATTCCATACTGTGTGCATTAGAATTTCACAAACTCTTTCATCCTGCAATGCAATTTTAGGTTCTCCATAAAGGCTGGTATGAGCACACGTGGTTGATACCACACACCCAACAACATCACTAACCCTCTTCCGGTAACTAATGTACGTCAACGTATTATAAGTTATCCTCTGACTGTGTTGAAAACAAATAAATTATTGTATTGTGAATGTATTTTCGGCAAAATTGTTTAAAATCGTTTTGAAATTCCCTCGCTTCATTTGACTCGTACAGTGCAGACCATATTTTGATACAATGTCTCATTGTTAAGACGCAGTTTATACAAAATACGAATTAGCTTTAAGATGCGGGGTGGCGACTCTCTCGTTATCTTTTATATCTGGATGTTACAAATGACCACGAGGACTGCGGACTTGTGCCTCAATACATGAGGTTCTTCACATGTACTCTACTGCTGACTACCGTCATTTGAAATAATGTGGTTTTACGTAGATGTGAGATGCAGAAAGCAGATGCTAATTTATAAAATGAAAGAAGAATGTTTCACGTTTATCGTACCGTTTGTTTACTTGGTGTTGCTCAATCTTGCCATCTTTTATAACCACATATTGAGCCTACCTTGTGCGCCGATGGGCATTTACACGACCGGAGGTAATTACACTACTTTTCCCACATTATCACAACCGTCTATAGATTATATGTGTATCACCTACAACATTAAAAGTCTGCAATCTGTTTTAAATATCTTATTTACATATGAGTGTTGTCTATGTGTGTCTTTCTCCTCATAACAAGAAACAAAATCCAACTATACACTGTACATTTCTTCTTGAACACGCCCGACAACAACCTCTTTGTGACTGAGATACCACGTGATCACTGGAAAAGTAATTCTCACGGTGAAAGAGC